GCAGAGGTTCTTGAGAAAATGGGGTGTAAAGTGTCATGGACAGAGAACAGTGTGACTGTGACAGGACCATCTAGAGATGCTTTTGGAATGAGACACTTGCGAGCTGTTGATGTCAACATGAACAAAATGCCTGATGTAGCCATGACTCTTGCTGTTGTTGCTCTCTTTGCCGATGGTCCAACCACCATTAGAGATGGTAAAGTTAACTCTCTCCCTTTGAAACATGCCTTCTCTAGATAGACTCATAGTCACTTTATTCTATTTGGTGAATGTAGTGGCTAGCTGGAGAGTTAAGGAGACAGAAAGAATGATTGCCATTTGCACAGAGCTTCGAAAGGTAAGTTTCCTTTCTCTCTCGCTCTATTTATACGTAAATCATTGCATAAATTTTGCGTTTTTTTGTTGTTGTTGTTGCATTTAGCTTGGAGCTACAGTGGAAGAAGGTTCAGATTATTGTGTGATAACTCCACCAGCAAAGGTGAAACCAGCGGAGATTGATACATATGATGATCATAGAATGGCAATGGCATTCTCTCTTGCAGCTTGTGCTGATGTTCCAGTGACTATCAAGGATCCTGGTTGCACCAGGAAGACTTTCCCTGACTACTTCCAAGTCCTTGAAAGTATCACAAAGCATTAAAAAGACACTTTCCCTTTGATCAAATTGTAACCTTATTAGAAGAACAAAGAGGATTAAGATTGTTTGCTTGTAATCTCTGCATCGGTTTGGGCCTTAATATAAAGATGGTGTAGTATCTTCCTTCCAGAACTTTAACCGGAAACCGGAGAAATGAATGGTTCCGATGATAGCAGATTAAGCTGTTAATATCAGAATGGGAAGTTAGTGGAGAAGCAAAAATGGTCTCTACAGCCAAGTTCAGCATTCCTGTAAAAACGATTGCCTGTTCAACAAAAATGAGTTCACAAAATCAATCAATATTCGTTGAAGAGAGACTTTGAAGAAATCAATTAATGAGAAAAGACTTGCAAGAATAAAAAGTAACCAACTAAAAGATCTGATCAATTGCTTCTTCAAGGGATGAGGATTTTTTTTCATAAAATATTCCTTTTTCTTATTTATGAGCTTTGGCAAAAAAAGAAGAAAATTTAGTTAAAAAGTTATTTAAGTTTTATTAAGAGAAAAAAAAGAAATAAAAAAATTGTTATTAATGGAAATATATAATATATTTTTCTTTATCAAGGATAGCTATGTAATAAGTATCGTGACACATAAAAAAATGACTTCTCAAATATTATTATAAAAATTTGTAATAAATTAAATTAAATTCTTTCATCTGTTGCAATATATTAAAACTATTGTTAGATTGTCCACTGTGAGTTTAATTTCGTATATATTTACTTTTGTTTTTTTTTCCCCAAAAGTTTTATACTAATTAGAGTTAGACTTCTTTTTATATATTAGACTTTCTTTTCTTTAATTTTCGATGTGAGATTTAAATTGAGATTTTTCATTAGCGATAAAACTATCTATTTTAAGGATGGAGATACCATTGGAGTTCCAGCAGCTGCGGGTAGATGATTGTTTTTAGGAAGTAGTGTCCAATCACAAACAAAATTTTATCTCTTGGTTTAGCTTTTTCTCATTTATTTTACCTACTTTGAGTTTAAGAATTATCTCTAATTACGTAAATCATAGATGTGTGTTTCAATTCTTGTGGTTAAACTTTATTGTAGGATGAAAAGTAAAAGACTAAACTATCCATTGTGTCGCTATAAATAGAAATTCATCTTAGGCTTAGTTCCTCACACAATACACATAACATACTTTCAAATTAAAAAAAAAAGTGAAGAAGTAAAAAAGTAAAATATAGCATGGCTAAGTTTGCTTCCATCATCACCTTCCTCTTCGTTGTTCTTATTATCTTTTCTGTTTTTGGTAAGTATTGATTTTATTATACGCATGGAAAATTATATTATTTATTAAATTTCAGATGATTTGATAATCAACTCTGACATATTTATGCATATATATAAAATATATATAAAGAAGCACCGACGATTGTGGAAGGGCAGAAGTCATGCAAGAGGCAGCCTTTGTCAGGGAAAAAATTTTGTATGAAGGATGGTGATTGCCGGAAGATTTGCGTCGAAGCCGAGAAAGCAACACGTGCTACTTGCGATTATACATTCCCAAGGCGCATTTGTTACTGCCACTTTCCATGCAAAACACCAGCACCATAGCCGTTCCAAGACATTTTTATACCATATGCCAAATAAATATTACTACCGTAATATCCTGGAATAAAGTCCATTTCAATATTATTATAATAAGTTTTCTATATAATTGCAATTTATAACAATTTTAATAAATTGTTTTTTTTTGATAAAAATCAATGATGTAAAAATACCAATAAATTTTATTACAAAGTGCTATTTGGGAGAATTGTCCATATATTAACAACCATTTTAACATATCTATTTTGTTATGGACGACACCAATGAGTTGCTAGATATACAATTGTTACCACCTTGATATTTGATAATTTATGTGACATGTTACTGTGGTCTGGAGTGCTGGAAGGAACCACCGTTTGCAGAAACAATGCATGTTAGACGTTTCTTCGTCGTTTTTTACCAAACAATCACGTTTTTATCTGTTTCTATTGACAATGAGTGTTGTTTCAGTTGTCGGAAAAGAAACCAATGTTTTGCAGAAACATTGAAACTGGTGACTGGTGTTAACTTGACAAAACAAACACTAAACGAAACTGGTGACTGGTGTTCAGCTTGTTTTTTTATCATGTTTAGTAACTTTGACGATATAAGAAAAATTGTTTGTTCATTGAAATGAGCAAAACCATAACTGTAACTTGACAAAACAAACACTAAACGAAAATGAGAAAATAAGTCTCAGTTGATACGAAGTGAATAGAATATAGCATGGCTAAGTTTGATTCCATCATCACCTTCCTCTTCGTTGTTCTTATTATCTTTTCTGCTTTTGGTAAGTATTGATTTTATTATACACATGGCAAATTCTATTATTTATTAAATTTCAGATTATTTGATAATCAACTCTGACATATTTATGCATATATATAATATATATATAAAGAAGCACCGACGATTGTGGAAGGACAGAAGTCATGCAAGAGGCAGCCTTTGTCAGGGAGAAAATTTTGTATGAAGGATGGTGATTGCCGGAAGATTTGCGTCGAAGCTGAAAAAGCAACTCATGCTACTTGCGATTATACACTCCCAAGGCGCATTTGTTACTGCCACTTTCCATGTTAATGAACATAGCCGTTCCAAGACAATTTTATGCCCTATACCAAATAAATATTACTACCGCAATATCGTGGAATAAAGTCCATTTCAATATTATTATAATAAGTTTTCTATATGATTGAAAATTATAAAAATTTTGATAAATTAATTTTTTGATAAAAATCAATGATGTAAGAATACCATTAAATTTTATTACAAAGTGCTATTTAGGAGAATTGCCCATATATTAACCATTTTAACACATATATTTCATAATTATGAAAAAATACAAATTAAAATGATAAACTATCATATATGAGTTGTGATATTATCTAGTTTATATGGTAAATTCAGAAAATATTAAAATTTAAAATATTATATTTTATTACTTAAATATAATATCAATTTATTTGTAAATTTAATAAATGTTAATTATTAAGTTTAGTTTTGTACATAAATAATCAGCAATATATAACTAATTTCAAGACATTCTAAAATATAATTTCAGAATTTCATTAACAATTTAAAGAAATTTGTATGTTTATTTACTTTTATATTAATATAATATACTTTTTTAACGACAATCATAATTATAAGAAAAAGGGGGGGGGGGGGGTTAAGCCCAAGGCCACGAAGAGTACATATTGTAGAGAGAGGCTTTTGCTAAACATATAATATACTAACTAACAAATTTAAGGGTCTAATCAAAATACATCTATAGCTACATATTCATATTCTGATAAAGATGAAAATCATGTAAACTAAATTCAAATATTATATTATTCATTATAACAAACTACAAAAAGAAACTAATACATAACAGAATATGAAGCCACATATTCTATAAAAAAAGCTTGCTAGTTAAATTAAGAGACCGAAAATGATACAGGCCATGGCATAATTGTCAAGATTATAAAATGCCAAGCGAAAAAGAAAGTAGTATAACCCAATGGGGTAGAATTCTCAACATGCAAGCCCCGAGAGGGAGAAGATCCGTAGATTCAACTTGCAGATCAGGAGAACACGGCGAACAGTGATTCGCATGAGAAGCAGCAAGCAAGGTAAGCTTCAGTACCCGAAAAACATCCAATTATAATTATCCACTTATACTATATGCTTTTAATTTGCTCTGTTCTCGTATGTTCTTAGAGAATAGCTTGAATCATCTGTTAATGTTTCATCTGCCCAGTTCGAATTCCGACTATGTATTGTGGATTTTGGTTTGAAAAACAATACTTGATTGATGTGCGGTCTTTGTTAATTATTTGTTGAGTTTTCATAAAGGATTATATCTATGGTTGTGTCTTTATAAAAAAGTAAACACGATAAATCTCAGCCCGCTAAATCTTTTCTGCTTTCAAATGGATACAAAAAAAAACTAGGTAACGTCAACCTGCGACTGCGATATTATTGTCGAACAGTGTGCCGTTTAACGAAACAAAACGACGTGATTAGCTACTGTCGTGTTGGACTGAGCTGGGCTGGGCTGCCAAACGAAAAGCGTGGTATATCAGATAGCTATGAACCGTATATTACAATCAAACCGGTTATGAATTAATCGGTGTACTTAAGCGCTAGTCGGGTACCCTCCGGAGTGTCCAGATTACCTGGGTTATAAATAAATCAAAAAAAAATTGAAACATGTGAAATTAGATGATGAGTTAATTTTTTAAAAAATATTATTAATCATTTGATAAAAAATCATAATAAAAATATGAGATTATATAAAAAGAATGACTAAATTATTATTTTTTCAATTTTTGTGAAGTTCTTTTAATATACATTTTTAAATATATTTTAAAATTTCTAGATATTTTATTTTGTTTTTGGGGAAATTAAAAGGTAATAAATTTTAAACTCGTTAAAAAGTTATTTAAATTTAGTTATGAGTTTTGGAAAAAAATAAATTTAGTTAAAAAGTTATTTAGATTTTGTTAAGAGTAAGAAAAAGAAATAAAAATATTTTTTATTAATGGAAATATATAATATATTTTTCTTTATCAAGGATAGCTATGTAATAACTGTCCTGACTCGTAAGAAATTGAATTCTCAAATAATATTATAAAATTTTGTAATTAATTAAATTAAATTCTTTCATCTGTTGAGATATATTAAAACTATTTGTAAATTGTCTACTTTGAGTTTAAAAGGCAAATTCCGTATCTATTTACTTTTGATTTTCTTTCCAAAAAGTTTTATACTATTTAGAGTTAAACTTTTTTTAATATATTAAACTTTCTTTTGTTTAATTTTTTTTTATGTGAAATTTAAAATTGAGACTTTTCATTAGGGATAAAACTATCTATTTTAAGGATGGAGATACCATTTGAGTCTCAGCAGCTGGGGGTAGATTATTGTTTTTAGGAAGTAGTGTCCAATCACAAACAAGATTTTATCTCTTGGTTTAGCCTT